GGTCCGACAACTCGCACCCATGCCTGTAGCGCCTTCATCGCTTTTTCCTTCCCCATTCCTCCTTCCTACAGGTTCTAGTGTGTTTTATCATTTCCTCAAGTTGCCAGGCCACACCTTGTCTGTGCCGCCCAGCACCTTGCATATCCCAGCCAGCACATCCACCGCGCATCACTCCAGTCTGACCTTACTTGAGACTCACCCTCCACCTGCACTATCGCGAGGCCAACTCACACTTCCTAAATCTTAAGTCGGAATCTACTTTTTTCCTGTCGGTGGTCGGCTTATCGACGCGTCGGCTTTCACAGGCCTACATATATGCAACACCAGAAAAGAGGAGGAGGAGGAGGAGGAGGAGGAGGAGGAGGAGGAGGAGGAGGAGGAGGAGGCGGAGTCTGAGTTGGCTGACGGCGAGCCCCTCTGGTTGGCCCGGACTGGAGGAGGAGTGTGGGAGGGGGAGAGTCGAGAGCCGGCCTACAAGGCAGCTGCTCTTCCTGTGGTCGCTCGTAGGGTCCCCCCCTTGGGGTTCGACTGGAGGGTGGGGGGGGGCCTCCCTGAAATGGCCCCGGGCTCCGAACCCCAGGGAGGGCGGTTCTCCCCGAGAGCCGAGGGGTACCCTCCCCCCCTTCTGGGGGAGGGGCCCCGCCCCGAGAGCCCTGCCGGGGAGTGGGGGGCCCACCCCCTTTCGCTAGAATCCCAGGGGCCGACGACGACGACGACGACGACGACGACGACGACGACGACGGCGACGGCGACGGCGACGACGGCGACGGCGACGGCGACGGCGACGGCGACGGCGACGACGAGGGGGGGCCAGCAAGCGCACATGACGGCGACGACGATGGCGACAGGGGGATGGCACGCGCAAGCGAGGATCACGGCGATGGCGTCGACGAGGGCGACGTGGACGACGGCGACAAGGACGACGACAACGAGGACGACGATGACAGGTTTCATTTAATGTCCCGACAGCCCGTCATGCGTTTTCGGTGGTTGTGACCGCCCGCCCGACCAGCGTCGTTGGAGACTGTGATATAGTTTCCCAGGATTTTCTCCCAACCTTAAAGGAACATTGCATTTAAAGTGCCACCCGTCCGATATGGACGCCCCATCATTGAGCGCATGGTTCCTTTAATGTCCCGCCCCTCCGAACGGCGTTTTCGGCGGTTGTGATCGATTCCCCCATTAACTTTTTTTCATTTCACACAGTGCAGGTTGCATGTAATGTCCCGCCCGCCCAATTTGGGTGCCCCATCACGGACTACATCTTTCATTTAATGTGCCGTCCGCCCGATCCTCGTCTATGGCAGTTATGATGTGTTTTCTCATCACCTTCTCCCAACACAGAGTGAAGGTCGCATTTAATGTCCCGCCCGCCCGATAGTGACGCCCCATTACTGAATAAATGGTTCCTTGAACGTTCCGCCCGCCCGAACGACGTCTTCGGCGGTTGTGATCGATTCCCCCTTAGCTTTCCCGTTTCACACGGTGAAGGTTGCATTTAATGTCCCGCCCGCCCAGTTTGGACGCCCCACCACTGACTACAGGTGTCATTCAATGTCGCGCCCGCCCGACCTGCGTCTCTGGCGGTAGTGATACATTTTCCCATGACCTTGTCCCAACATCTCCCAACACGTAGTGGTGGTTGCATTTAATGTCCCGCCCGCCCGACCAGTTCACCAGCTCGTCGTTGTCATTGTCGTCGTCGCCGTCGTCGTTGTCGCCGTCGCCGTCGCCCTCGCCCTCGCCGTCGTGGTCGTCGTGGTCGTCGTGGTGGTCGTCGTCGTCGTCGTCGTTGTCGTCGTCGTCGTTTGCCTTCGGGATTCTAGTGGAAGGGGGGGAGGCCCCCCCCAGGGAGGACCCCCCCCTCCCTTCTTGCCCCTCCCCCCTCCCCGGGGGGGGCGGGGCACCCCTCGGTTCTCGGGGGGAACCCGCCTTTCCGGGTTTCTAGGGCGGGGGATGGGGGGGGGGATTTTAAGAGTCCCCCCCCCCGTCCCCTTGGTTTCTGGGAGGGGGGGTCAATGCTTTCAAGCCAGGCGCCCGTGAAACGCGCTCTCTCAAAGCACCGAAGACCTCCATTCTGGAGGTCGCACCTCCATTCTGGAAGCGAAGAGCTGTCATAAATTCAGCATGGAAGTCGGACCTCCATTTGGGAGTTTGTGACCATCCTGATAGGGAGAAGTAGGCTCATCACCACCAACAGGAGGGTGCAGGATTGCATGACGCGTGGGATGTAGGTGCGCAGGGTGCGCCGCAGAAGGGACCAGGAAGGCCCGAAGCAGTGTACGCTGCCACCTCCACCACCCTCCCTCTAGACCTTCGCCCCTGACAGGGGGCAGGGGAGGGGGCGAGGGGGGGGTTCGAGATTTCTGGATTTCGGATCTGGGGATGTCTTGGTCTCGGCAGATGTTTGGGGATTCTGGTGGGCTCCGGAGGCCTGCCCCGCCGCTTGGGTCGATCGGGACGCCCTCGGCGGTCCGGGGCTCAGCTGCCACGGTGCGCCCGGAATAACGCAGCGCGGGCCGTGTTCGAAGCGCCCGCTTTGACAGTCAGCCCGCGGAGTTGAGGATGAGCAACTTGTCCTATAGGTTGCCCTCGCAGTTAAGGATGAGCAAGGTTACCCTATAGGTTACCCTATAGGTTACCCTATATGTTACCCTATAGGTTACCCTATGAGTAACATGTCCTATAGGTTACCCTATAGGTTACCCTCGCTTTTAGAGTCAACCCGCGGAGTTAAGGATGAGCAGCTTGTCCTATAGGCTACCCTTAGGCAGCCTTGCCCATTCGGTCCATCCCTGGCAACTTTCGCCGGCCAGCCCCTTAGGGCGGGCTGCATCCTCCGGTTGCGCGGCGCGACGCCCCTGGGGGCCAAGCCTGACGGATGCGCGATGGGCAGGGCACCCTTAGCCGTCCTCGGGCCTGTACACGCTGCGCGTTGGTTCAATGTGCTGGCCCACGTTGTTGCGAGCGCGTCGCGCCAAACGTCGTGCGTTTTCAGTCTGCGTGTTGGCCTGCGTGTCAAAATGCTACGGGTTGCGTGTTGCGTGTAGGGCCGGCTAGGCTCCGGGGTCGTCGTCATCTCAGCGCGTCTACCGGAGGGGTGGCTTGTTTGTTGTTCGTCGGGCGGGTGGCAATTGGGGGTGACTTAATCAAATGGGGGATGAAGAACAGAGCCCTAAAGGGATCGAGATGAGAGTCCCTCTCCAGACGCCTTTTGTCGATCCTCTCCTTTGCCGTTGGAGGCACGAACAATTCGCTGACCACTGGGAGGCCAGCCTGCGAGCTCGCTGCACAGTTTCGGAACCCTCGACAAGCCTGCTGCCATCACCAAACCAGCGTAGGTCCTTTTCGTCCGAGATAAGGTTCGCACGCGGTTCTTTCCGCCTTTGTACCAACCTGATAAGGATGGTCCAGTACGTGTTGCCCTTGAACCGTTAGGTTACGCGCAGATTCATTCCAGCCGATTCGTTCCGTATTGCTCGTTTTCCCCGCCGCTCATTTGTCCAGAATTCGTTTCTCCCGCTTGGGGCTCGTTTCGCCCGCCGTTTGTCTCGCTCGTGCTTCGTCTCACGGTGGTTCCTTCCAGTGAAGTGAGTGGGTTGGCGTTTTAGGCTTGTGTGCTTCACGTCTAGTTCTGGCATTTGAGACTTACGGCTCTGAGTCACTTGTTTCAAAGTGTAAGATGTGTTGTTCAGGGGTTGGGTCGTGGTGTTTGGTTGAGGGGTTGAGGCTCAGAGCTACGTTCAGGGTTAACCAGTCAAGATTATGGATTGATGGACAAGATTATGGGGTAGGGGCTGCAGGTGTACGCTTCTGCCTTACAGAAGGAGCCCAGGACGTAGAATTCAGGCCTCATGGTTCAGAGTTTCGGGGAGAAATGGCTTCGAGGCTTCAAGTCTGTACGGCTCGAGTGGCTGGGGATGGACGTATGGACATGTGCAGGTAGCCGTGCTTTACAGCGAGCATGGTGACGCGAACGAGGATGATGCCGGCGACGCGGGCGACGGCTTCGCACCAGGGCGCTCTTTTTCGAGAACCAAGTGCGTCCTTGTCGATCTCACGATGTCAGCGAGGCGCGAAGCGGTGGCGGGCAAGTAGTTCACGCTTCGTGTTCGCGTCGGCGCGGCGGACGCCACCGAGCCTCCTCACCCAGTGTAGGGTGGCGCCGCAGATGTCATCGAGCCTCCTCGCTGATGCAGGGTGCTTGGGTTGTATTGCGAAGGCCTTACGGCCGGTGCCGCCGACCCTGAATGGCGACGACGACGACGACGACGACGACGACGACGACGACGACGACGACGACGACGAGCGCTCTTGGGGGCCTCTTGGGGGTAGTTTGTGGGCCTCTTGGGAAGCTCTCAGGGGCCGCTTGGAAGCCTCGTGGGGGCCTCTTGGGGCTTCCTGGGGGTCTCTTGGAGGGGGCCTGGGACGTCTTGGAGGCTTCTTGGACGGTCTTGGGGCTATCGTGGGCGTTTTCGGCCGATCTTTGGGCGACTCGGGGCCCTCTTGGGCCGTCTCGGGGGCCATCTTGGGCATTCGGACCTCATTTGGAGTGTTTTCGAGGTTTCTAGGCCGCCCGAGGGAAAACGAATCTGCCCCCCCACCCCCCCCGGGACACCCCCCGGCCCGGGACCCCCCCCGGGACCCCCCCGGACCCCCCCCCCTGGGGAAGGGATCGAAGGGAAGGGGCTTCCCTTCGACTCGATTACGACACTGCTAGATTTTTCTCTCGCTCACGAGCTTGAGAAGGAAGCTGCAGGGAAAGGGGACGACGGAGGCGACGACCGACGGAGACGACGACTCAAACAGCCAAGCCCCTCGCACACGCCGACAGGGTCGGCGGATTCGCGTCTGGAGGCGCCACCATCTCCCAAGCTTGCAGACAATGGCCGCGGAGTACCCAGTGCGCCTGGCTCCAGCCGCGACGCTGTTCTGTCGGGGCGGGTGGCGGGTCGTGAAGCTGCGCAGGTCCTCTGTCGCAGCGGGCGCTCTGATGTGCCATGCCCCCCCCCCGCAACGTGGTCGGCGCCGCCGTTTGGGTAGAGCCCGTGCACTGCGGCGCAGCGGTGTCGGGCTCGGCCGTTGCGGGCCTCCCCGACCATCGGCTGCTGCCCCGGCCTGGCGACGCGGCGTTTCTCGTCTCGCTGCGAGGTGGAAATATGGGCGCCGGCGCGGTGCCCGCCGCGGCAGGCAAGCGCCCGGAGCAGCAGGCGCATTCTGCCGATGAGCTCCTTGGCAAATCATGGGGGCCTGGTAAACCCTGTTAAAGTTGTCTTTAGCGTCGACTAGCGTCTAGGAGTCGATGAGATGCGCCCATTTGGCGTCGGCTAGCGTCGACTAGCGTCGACTTAGCGTCGGTCGGCGTCGGCTAGCGTCGATGAGCGTCGATTCGCAAGAGCCGACAAGATGGTATGGGAGGCTCCCATAAGTTGCCACCGGAGATGAGTCCGACGAGGTCCAGGGCCCAGCGTTCCTTGCTTCTGCTCTGGCGCCCAGCCATCTCGTTGCTTGCCTCTTGGCTCGGCTTCGCAAGTGGTGTGGGCTGGATGCGAGGGGCCTAAAAGCGAGTCGCCGCAGCGGGGTGTGCCTTCCACTCCATTCGTATGGATGTGTATGGCTGTCCGTGGTGCTCGACTGGCGGCTCGGTGGATGGACGACTTCCCGCAGGATGCGTAGAGGTGGTGGTGTGGATGAAGGCCGATTGCTTGCATCGTCCCGACAATGAAGCCCATCGCCATCATCTCATCATCATCATCATCATCATCATCATCATCATCATCATCATCATCATCATCATCATCAGCAGCAGCAGCAGCAGCAGCAGCAGCAGCATGATTTTTACCATCGTCGTCATCGTCATAGTCGTCATCATGATTGTTTAAGTCGTCCCAACCGCCAAGTTCAACGAAAACTACAACCCTGCATGCGCACGGGCGCGATCGCGTCGACGGCCCTTGAATGGCTGGTGCCCGAGGACACAATGTTCCGTCTCGCCTTCGTATCTCTGTCGTTGGACGCGCGCAGGATCATTGAGTATGATGAGATTACGAAGCAGTTCCAAAGCATATCAGTGGGGAATCAGGCAATCTTCATGGAGCACGTGGGGGCAGTTGAGCCATCTCTCAAGTTTTCCCGCATCTTTTGCGCTGCTAGTCTAGCTAACTCAGACACGCACCAGAGATTTCGTGCGTTCGGTCCTCCCTCACCGCTTACCTCCTCCTCCTCCGCCTCCTCCTCTTCCTCCTCTTCCTCCTCTTGCTCCCTCTCTCCCTCCCTCCCTCCCTCCCTCCCTCCCTCCCTCCCTCCCTCGTCACCGCCTCCTTCCCCCCCCCCCCCGCCTCGTATTCTTCCTCCTCTTCCTCCTCTCCTCCTCCTTCTCCTCCTGTTCCCTCCCTCCCCGTCTCCCCCCTCCCTCCCTCCCTCCCTCGCTCCCCTCCGTCACCGCCTCCTCCCCATCTCCCCCCCCTCCTCCACCTGCTCCTCCACGCCTCGGCTCGGCGCTTGCCGCGCCCCGCGCGCTGGCCCCCAAGAGCACATATCGATCTCTCGCCGCGAGTGCGGGCGGAGTCCGCCGCCTCCACCCTGCTCTCGGAGGCGGCGATGGGGGCGAACGGCCCGGGGAGCCAACGACGTTCGAAATTCTGGGTTCGGGAAGGTTTTCTTGTCTGTCGGCACTCGTGGGCCATTGTCGGGCCCTGGGATCGTGGAAAACCGATCCGGGGTGAAGAATTGCACCAGATGGGCCCTGGGAGGGGTGGGGGATCGATTTTGAAAGGATTCGGCCCCATCCACATTCATCCAGGTCGAGCTGTGAGAGACGGGGGTCAATGCAAACGGTGGTCAGCCAGAGCGCTGGATCTTGCAGGATCCTGCAGAGCCAGGGTGGCATTGACCCAGGCTTGCGCGCAGGATCTTGCAGGATCCTGCAGGATCTTGCAGGATCTTGCAAGGTTTGATTGACCTGGGATGACCTGGGCTTGCGTTGCCCCGGGTCAGTGCGTCCCCCGACCTCGGGGCGCCGATGGTCCATGTCTTCGTCGAGGCTCCCCGGCGAGTGCGTGCAATGCCCGCCTTGGGCTGCTCCCCCCCATCGTCGCCCCTTCCTGCTCCGAACCCGCCGGCCCCCGCCGCCGCCGGCGCACCCGGCGCCGAGGTTCTTCCCGACGGGCCAGGAGGCCCCGGGCTCTCCGCGGCTGTCGGACGAGCACCAGGACCGGGGGGCGGCCGCTCGCTCCGCGGGAGCGCGGCGGAGGGGTCGTGGTCCGGGCGCCTTCGGGTCGCCTGCGGGGCCGCCGGGCCTCCGAGAGGAGCGATCTGGGCCGAGATGCTGCTGAGTGTGGGGTCGGCAGCTGCGGCCGAGGTCTTTCACGACGGTGTGGTCTTTTCCCGTTCGTCGGGTGTCGTGGGCGGGGGGGGGCGCCGAGCTCAGCCAGGCCCCTCCAGGGACGCCACTGGGGGGGTAGGGTGATGGAGCCCTCCAGGGCTCTGAGTACCCTCTGAGGCTTTTGCGTAGAATCTGACACTCTGTCCCCCAGTGGCGTTCGCTTTGGGGGCCTGGCTTTCGACCTTGGAGGAGTTTGAGCGAATCTCTCCTATGGGATGGCCAGCCCCACGGATGTCCTCCCAGAGGGGGAGGCTCGGAGGCGGGGGATGGGTAGGAAAAGGGGAAGGAGGAGGGGTGATGGTGATGGTGATGGTGATGATGCTGATGCTGATGCTGATGCTGATGCTGATGCTGATGCTGATGCTGATGCTGATGCTGGTGGTGGTGATGATGATGATGATGATGATGATGATGATGATGATGATGATGATGGTGATGGTGATGGTGATGGTGATGGTGATGATGATGATGATGATGAGGTTAACGATGGTTATGATGATGCTTATGATGCTGATGCTGATGATGGTGATGCTGCTGCTGATGATGATGCTAATGATGATGATTTTGATTATGATTATGACTCTGATTATGACTGTGATTATGGTGATGCTGCTGCGGGTGATAATGATGATGATGATGATGATGATGATGATGATGGCGATGATGCCAAGTATCCTGATAAGTACGATGCTGGTCATGATGGTGGTGATGATGATGCTGATTCTGATTACGATGGTGATGATGCTGATTATGTTGGTGATGATGATGATGATGTTGATGCTGATGCTGATGCTGATGATGATGACGATGACGATGACGATGATGATGCAGATGCTGATGCTGATGCTGCTGATGATGATGTTGTTGATGATGATGATGATGCTGATTATGATGATGATGCTGATGATGATGCTGATGCTGATGCTGATGCTGATGCTGATGCTGGTGGTGGTGATGATGATGATGATGATGATGATGGTGATGGTGATGGTGATGGTGATGATGATGATGATGATGATGATGATGAGGTTAACGATGGTTATGATGATGCTTATGATGCTGATGCTGATGATGGTGATGCTGCTGCTGATGATGATGCTAATGATGATGATTTTGATTATGATTATGACTCTGATTATGACTGTGATTATGGTGATGCTGCTGCGGGTGATAATGATGATGATGATGATGGCGATGATGCCAGGTATCCTGATAAGTACGATGCTGGTGATGGTGGTGATGATGATGCTGATTCTGATTACGATGGTGATGATGCTGATTATGTTGGTGATGATGATGGTGATGATGATGATGTTGATGCTGATGCTGATGCTGATGATGATGACGATGACGATGACGATGATGATGCAGATGCTGATGCTGATGCTGCTGATGATGATGATGTTTATGATGATGATGATGATGATGATGATGCTGATTATGATGATGATGCTGATGATGATGATGATGATGATGATGATGATGATGATGATGACTATGACTATGACTATGACTATGGCTATTACTATGACTATGACTATGACTATGACGATGGTTACGATGATGGTGATGATACTGATTGTGGGTGATGACGGTGGCGGCGATAACGATGGCGCCGATGGTGGCCGTCGCTGTGGGTGATGACAATGGTGATGAGCAAGAGGGAGAGGAGACCCTGTGAGGAGAACGGAGGGGGCGGGGGAGGAGCGGGGCGGTGAGACTCCCCTCCGCGGCCAGCCGGGGGCTTCCCCGCGGGGTCGCAGCCGACGGCTCCGTCGTCGGCGTCGGCGTCGTCGTCGTCGTCGCCATCGCCGTCATCGTCGTCGTCGCCGTCGCCGTGCCGTCGCCGTCGCCGTCGCCGTCGTCGCCGCCGCCGCCGTGGCCGTCGCCGCCATCGTCGTCGTCGCCGTCGCCGCCGCCGCCGCCGTCGCCGCCACCGTCGCCGTCGTCGTCGTCGACATTGTTGTCATAATGGGCACGGTAATGGTTCATGGTCATGGTCGTTGTCATCGTCTTCATCTGGAGTCCTTGGCGCCCGAAAACAAGAACACAGGCGCGGCCGGATTTTCCGAGTTCGTGCCACTGAGGTCCACGGATAACCATTCTTGGTGCGAAATGCGGCCACATATTGTGGAGAACCTGGGAGCGCTGTGGGACTAGCCGCACGCAGGCAGTTGGGACTTATTTGCTCGGCGCTGCATTCGGCACGAGGGTCCGTCAGGAGACCCAAGAGGCTCTGGGTGCCACCCGTGCCTGGCTGAATGAGGAGGAGAGCAGGAACACCGTCGCGGCAGTGATTTCATACTCTTCGCCACTGAGGAGGCAAAGAAACGTGCCTGCTGTGCAGCACTGCGGAATGTCTCTCGCAGGGAGCGCAGCGGAATGCACCTTCAGCCCGTGCAGGGGATGCCGCGGAGCGGCAGCAGCACGCACCCGCGCGCCGAGCACGGCACCAGCCCGTGCTTCCCGAGCAGCTCGTGGGAGGGTGCCGTGGCCGGCTCGTCGCGTGCCATCGGTTGTACCTCGGTATCGCTCGGACGTGTGCACTTGCCCTCGCGCCCCCCACATCGCCCTCCTCCTCCTCCTCCTGCTCCTCCTCCTCGTCGTCGTCCTCCTCCTCCTCCTCCTCCTCCTCTCCTCCTCCCTCCTCCTCCTCCTCCTCATTCTCGGCACGTCCTGCGAAAAGCCACGCGTCCTGGATCATCCTGCGACAAAAGCTGCGCACGAAACCGAAAAAAGCACAGGGAATGGCCGTCCGAGCGACGGGGAGTTTCCTCGTGAAAAAAGCACGACGACATGCAGCAGCCACTCTGCAAGAATTGCAGTGGCTAAAGGATGCATTTATCACGGTGCTCATTTCAGCTCGTACCAATCTTTCACCTTTTTACGAAAGGTTGCCGTGAGAGGGACGCATCAGTGTGACTTCCATTGTTTTTGAGGGGGTGATCCCCAACACTCGCTTTGCGTCGCAATTGGTCTCGGAGGGGGGAGTGCGGGGGCGGTCTGCAGGTTTATCAACCGCACCCAGGCACGCACAGGGTGCTGCGAAACGGTACAGTCCATGTGGAATCACGCCTTGGCAGTCCTCTCGGTGGTGCGGTGGTGCGGTCAGAAGTTGAAGGTGCGCTTCGAAAGTGTTGCCCTGTGCGTGTTGGCACTTACTTTTGCTGATTCGACGGGCCGAAGAGGGTAAGGGTGTGCTGACGGCGACGGGAGCACGGGGCCTCGCGCGGCTGCTTGTGGATGCTGACGTCTAGGCCCTCCGCAGCCTCTGCAGACGGAACGAAATCCCCAGTGGCCGGTGCTGCAGTCCAGGCCTCAGGTGGCCCAGACTGCGACGACCAGGCGCTCTCTGGGCAGGCCAACGGCGAGGCGCAGCTGCCAAGGGCCTTGTGCCACAGTCCCCTCCGAGCTTCTGTAGAATCTCATTACAGTGGAGGCCCATGCCAAGAAACACCCTGCTTGCCTCCAGGGTGCCCTGGGTTCCTTGGGTTTCGATGGACGTTCCCAGACCAAAAATCAATGGACGTCCTGGGGTCTCAGGGTTTGTTTCTTGTGGAAGGTTTCTTGTGGACTGGCCTCCACTGTATCTCTGGACCTCTGGCCCAGCGGGCGTTAAGTTTCTCGTCGGGGGCGGTCAAGAGGGGGTTGATGGCCTGGGGGGCGGCATATCGTTGTCGGGGCCATGCTATACCCCCAGATATCATGGCCCCCTCTTCTTACTTCGATGCGTCCCCTGCCCCCCCCCAAACGTCCGCGCACATGCCTCGGGCCATGATCTGCCATGCTCTGCGCCCCCCCCTCTTGCGCGCCCCCCTCTTGGATGCCCTCGATCTCGTCCAGCCGATCCACTCCAGCCGAGAGCCTGGCGCTTCGGTGTCGGGGTCGGCCCGAGCGCCCGAGGACGACCCGTGGCAGGCGGTGCTCCGCGGCGACAGGGTGGAGGAGAGCCGCCGCCGCTGCGGCTGGCGGCCCCTGGTGGCCCTGGCCCCCTGGCCACTCGGGCGTCGAGTAAGGGGCGGGCGATACGGTCGGACCGAGGCATGAGATCGAGGTCGGTTCGGGGAGGGTGCCCTAGTGTTCCTCGTGCTCGTTGGATGCTCTCGTGCAGCCTGGGGAGGGTACCCTAGGATGTTCTGTGCGTTTTGGCCGGTGGAGGGTCTCATGCTCGTGAAGGATGTTCTTCTGGCCTAGGTCCGACTGCAATGGGGAGTCGGTGCCCTAAAGGAGCCGTGGAGTGGCCCCCTGGGACCCGAAAGGGGCACGAAAGGTGCACTCGTCTTCCCCCCCACTTATCACCCCTCATGAACCCACGTCCGAATCAACCACGCGCAGAAGGGGGGTAGTAGGGGGGAGGGAGGAGGGCTTCTTGGAAGCACCCCTGCCTCTTAGAAGGCGCGGGCCTGATCTGCAGACGCAGGGCCGGCGCCTTCTAAGAAGCAGCGTCCTTCTGAGCAGCTTCCCCCCTCCCTCGATCCCCTTGTGCGCGCCGCCCGCCAACCTGTGGTATGGAGACGTATGCTTCGATACTGTATAGGCTCGGAAGGGGGAAGAAGTGCGGGGGGCACCTTACGGTCGGGCACTTCTGGATAGCGTGTCGCTCCGCGGGTCCTGGCTCACCGTGCTTCGGCGCGACACGCTATCCACTTCCCAGTCCCTCAGCGCCAACGTCCCGAGCCTTTCCCAGCCTCCCGCCCCGCGGAGCGGAGCGACACGCAATCCACTCGCAAGGCATAGCGTGTCGCCTGGGCCATCCTGGCGACACGCTATCTAAAAGTTCCTTACCGTAGCGTCAAGGAGAAATGTGGCCCAAACTATCTGATATTTGGATTGATTGTCATCTAGGTGCGCTGTACTGACAGTCCGGAGCCAGCCAGTAGGTGGCATGTTTCCCAGAGCTCTCCTGGTGTTTGGGGAAGTTGTCGGGAACCTGGGGCCTGCCCCTGAAACTGCTCTTTGCCGAGAGCTTTGCAGAGTTCTGGCCCAGGGCAGTGTTCAGAATGCACGACCAGGGGAAGAGGAGGAGGAGGAGGAGGAGGAGGAGGAGGAGGAGGAGGAGGCGGCGGATGGTTCTAGGGCCCTTGGAAGTGTCGGGCCCCCCCATCCAGCAGCTAGAGCCCGACGAGAGTTTCAAAACAGCGGTACCAATGCCCCGCTCGGCTTTCAGTTGGCCACGCCAGGTCGCATCCTGCCGCCCCCTGTTCCGTCTACATCCCAGCGTCGAGGAGCAATCACGCGTCGGGCGTCTTGCCCCGTTTCGGGCCCAAGGACCCTCACGGATCTGTCCGCCCTGCGGCAGCTCGCACACAGATGGCATCGACAGTTCCAGCCGTGGCCTTCCGAGAAAGAAGTACGACGTCGGACGTCAGGGGCGCGACACCCTCCCCGCCGCGGAGGAGCTGGCGATGTGGGAGTGGGGCGCGGACCCGTGGACGTACCGGATCGCGCGCGAGGGGTGGACGAAGAGCTCGGGGGTTGCCAAAGGTGCCCCTGGCCCAAGGGGTGCCCCCCGAGCGTGTCGCTCCCTTTGGGAGCCCCTGGGGCCCCCTGGGCAAGGGCTCCCTCGAGGGCGCGAAGTTATTCGCGCTTCGCGCTTCGCGGTCCTCGTTCCTTCTCCCCCTCCTCCTCGTCCTCCTATTCTCCCTTTGGGAGGGCGGCGCGAGAGCGCGAAGTTATTCGCGCTTCGCGCTTCGCGCAGCGCGAAGCGCGAAGTTGGGAGCCCTAGATGAGCCCTGGAGACCGTGGGGGCCTCCCTGGAAATCCTGGGGGCACCACGGGCCGGGGGCACTCCTGGCAACACCCGAAGAGCCTGAAGCGCAACGTCGGTGCCTGCCTGGCGAGCGGGTGGGCGATCGCGCACTTCGACGACGGCTGCCTGTACGCTCCCCGCTACCTCGGCGAGATGCTCGCGGAGCTCGCTCGGGTGGCCGGGGGCGAGGAGGCTGGACAGCCGGCCGCAGTCGCCCTCGCCAGGTGGCCGGGGTGGCGCCTCCCGGTCCTCCCCGCCCCCGTCGACCTCACTTCCCCGCCCCTCGCGCTCTCTCCCCCGTCGCCCTGTGGCTCCTTGCTCCAGATTTGCCCCCGCGGCGCCTCGACTGCAGGCCGATGTCCGATGTCCGATGGTGTGGCGTCGGATGCCTCCCTCGACACTGCGCACGCGAGTGGCAGAGCAGGGCAGGTGCCGAAGCGAGAACGGGCGCCCCGACGGCTGGCAAAGCGGCTTCCCGAGCATGTCTCCACGATGGCAGCCGTCACAATGTCCAAAGCTCGGGAGGGCTTGCTCAGAGGCATCTCGGGTTGCCTCTCTGCGGCTCCTCAGGGGGCAGCTGGGGAGCCTTGTGGAGGTCTTCGGGCCATCTTGGGGCGCCCAGGGGTTGTCGGGAAGGTTCTGGGGCTCTTTTTTGGGGGGAGGATCTTGGGGCTCTTTGGGGTCTTCTCCTGAGATTCGGCCACGGCAGGTGGTACACGTTCTCGGTGAAGGAGCAGGAGTTCAACGCCGTTGATCTGAACCAGCGAGAGCCGTTGTGGAGTGAGTTTGGCATGATCCCCAGTGCTACGCAGAGCGTCGACCAACTCAACCATGGATTTGCCCACGTGTACACGCGCTCGGCATGGAGAAGGCAACCTCTTCCAGACATCGAGACAGCAGGTGCGGGGGACAGCAGCTTCTTGCAGGCTCTGCGTGCATGCGGCGCGCAGGTGTCATTGGTCGCCCCGCCCCTTGCAGAGTGTCTCGCCGCCTGCGGCTGGCACAGGGACGCAACGTGCGGATCTGTTGATGCCGCAGCCAACATCAACTATTCTCAGGCGCTCAGCTTCCTCGCCACGCGTGGCCAGCCCGTCTCCACGACGCCCCAGCTGTTCAAGCAGTTCTTGCCCTCCGTCAGGAAAGTGGCCGCCGACATGGCCGCCAGGCGGGATCGATGCCTGCAGCGCGTGGTCAGCGAGCATGGTCCCGTATACGTCTGCGCATACTGCAATCCAATCGCGCTGCCGCGCGTAGTCTCCACCTCGTTCTGAAGAGGGGGGGCCTGGGTGTGGGGGGCTCGCAGGGCAGGGCTGCGGTGGGTGGGGTGGGAGTGGGAATGAGGCCCACCACCCAAGATTTTTTTTTTCCGTTAACTCTGTGGGGAAGGCGGGAAGTCCCCAGGACTGGGAGTATTGTACAGACAACGCGCGCATCATAAGGACGCGCGCCCTTTCTAGGGTACCCTTGTGTCCTTGCCTCTGCTGCCCGGCATTTGCCGTTTTCACTGGTTGCCCGTCACCCAAACATCGCAACTTCGGCCTCCACGGGTCTTGCGTCCTTACCACCCTGCCTGAAGATACGTGTTCACTGTACAGCCAAGGCGCTGACATACACGAGGACCACTTTGGGCTCAGGAGGGGTCTGGCTTTCGGGCCCGTCCTGGGTTCTAGGTCAGGGAACCTGTTCATGGCCGAGGCTTGCCGTGGCCAAAACAAAACCCGCTCGTTCCTTATTCAGCGTTCCTCGTAGCACGATGCCTGTCGAGCATCGCCCCATCGGGGCTCGATGGAGTTTGGGAGGCCCCACTGGATCGCCTCGCACGGACTGCGGAAAGAGCAACGAGGCCAGACAGGCACCAGCCGCGGCCCGCTGCGGCGGCGGCCTTTGCAGTCGCGCTCGCCAAGCACGAGCAGGGCACCGAGGAGGTCAGCGCCCTCATGAGAGTGACCGACGGCGTCAGCGTGATGCAGACGTGGAGCGCAGAGAGGCCGACCTCCTCTTCGTCCTCCTCCTCCTCCTCCTCCTCCTCCTCCTCCTCATCCTCCTCCCTTGGGCGCTCTTGGTCGTCCTTGGGCGCTCCTGGCGCGACTCGAGTGACCTGTTCCAGAGGCTTCGGGAACGTGGTTGGGACACCATGCTTCCAATGTGGCCTCAGATTGTCTCTGGGCCCGTCCTGGAACCCCCCCTTGTGCGCATCTTAGGCCACCTTCAAGGTCTGGGGGGCTGGCCCAAGAGGCCCAAACCATTAAAGCACTTATGCGTTTCGTTGATTCTGACATTCTCGGCTTTTCGGTCTCAAGAGTGCATAGGACGACCCAACAGTAATACTGGCTACCCCTCCAGAGAGGCCGCGCCGGACCGCGCGGGTCGTCGGATAACCTGTTTTTTATCGGGGCGGTGCCTGTCCCACTTCCCAACAGTACCGTGGCCGCCCCTAGTTTTTGCCCCTAGAGCGCACGACCCAATCGGAACCCTTCTGCGGGAAACTCCGATTTGTCATTCAATGGGCCTTCTCATCATGAGTACCATTCCACCCCTTGCCGCTACCTACCCCTCCCCACTCGTCCCCTCCCGCATCCCTCTCTCCTGCCCTCCCTCTTCTCCTGCTCTCCCTCCCCCTCCTCCTCCTTCGTCGTCGTCGTCCTCCTCCTCCTCCTCCTCCTTCCCTTGCCTCCACTTGGCGGGCCTCATCCCATAGTTTTGCAGCGATCCAGAGAGGATGCGGTTCGACTGCGGCTACTTCTCTGCCGCCGGGGGCGCCGTGGCGGAGGGGTCCCACGAGTCGATCGAGCCCGGACACGACAGGCTGCGGGGCCTCATCCGGCGCATGGCCATCTGCCGCAATTGCGGCTGGCAGCTGGGATGGAGGCACGAGCCCGAGGAGAATGCGGCTCCCTGGCAGGCGCCGTGGCCTCCCCTCTGAATCTCCGCCACCTCGCGTGGATGACCGCCTGCCGCGGGCCCGCGTCCGTGGGGGGCATGTCGCAGCGCAGCCCCTCTCTGCGCGTCCCCCCGTTGTGTCGCCCCCGGCCTCACCCCGATTTGATCTCGTCGCCGCGTTCGGTTCTACAGGTTTTGCCTCGCCCGTTCGTCCTCCGAGCCCGCCCGATGTGCACTCCCCTCTTGAGCTTCGCCTGGGGTCCTCGGAGCCTCGCAGAGCCTCCCTCCCTGGGGCCTCTGCGCTGGGAAGGGGCCACCGGCCCTCGGCAGCGGAGCCGTCTGCGCAGGGCACGGGGGCGGTGGCGCCTGCCTGTGCTTCGCCCGACGCAGGTCCACCGAACTGCGGCCCCACGGAACCGAGCCAGGCGTACTGGATTTGCGTCGGTCCGCCTCCTGCTCCTCCTCCTCCTCCTCCTGCTCCTCCTCCTCCTCCTCCTTTTCCTCCTCCTCCTCCTCCGCCTCCTCCTCCTCCTCCTGCTCCTCCTCCTCCTCCTCCTCCTCCTCCTCCTTTTCCTCCTCCTGTCCTCCCCGAGAGATCCGTGGTATAGTACGGGCAAGAGCGAGGGTGATTACAGCCCCCCCCGCTTATGCCCGCCGTCTCTTCCAAGGCCAGCCCAGCTGACAAGTGACAAGCCCACGGCGGAGTTCTACGCTCCGATCCTCCCCTTCGGGCGACGAAATCTACGCATGTCCACTGCCCCCTTGCCAGGCCCTTCCTAGGCCGAGGAGCTGTGTGTGCGCCCTCCTGGCCAAGCGAGGAGGGCGTGGCGTATACGCCGCTGCCGGGTCCAGGATGGGCCTGCCTGGGGAGCAGAGGATCTGTACAGGCTTCCGTCGCCCTACCTCCCCCCGTCCGAGAGAGAACCTGGGGTGGGGGGCCACATGCGAGCCCTACCCCTACCCCCCACGACTTCTGAGGGGGAGGGTGGGGTTCACTTTGTTCGGGAGCTCCCGAGCGAAGTGAACCCCACCCCCCTCAGAAATCGGGGGGGGTAGGGGTAGGGCTCGCATGTGGCCCCCTATGGGGCTCGCCTGGAGGGGAGGCTCGCCCTGTGCTCCCAGTGCTCGGGCGCAGCGTGCACCCCCGGGCCGCGCGGCAGGCCTACGACCGGCAGTACCAGGAGAGCGGGCCGCGCTGCGAGGAGAGCCTGAAGCAGCTCCGCGGACCTGTGACCTGGTCGCTGATCTTCGGGGAGCAGAACGTGGCGTGAGCATAAGCTTTCGGAGCTCCGCGCGGACTTCTCGGACCGGCGCTGGAGGCCCCTCGGCGGCGCCTCCGGCGCCGCCCCTGCCGCGGGGGGTCCAGCCCCGATCCCAGGAGTCCGCGCGGGCCTCTCCGAAAGATCATGGCCATGCCATGGTATGCTCCTCGAGATCTGGCGGCACCTGCGGATCCGCAGAGAGCCCGGCGAGCACGTGCCAGACGACGGGGGCGGGGGGGCATCCAGGCACGCGGAGACGCAGCACAACCGCGGCCGCGGCGACGTCTGCCCGCTCGGCCACCAGCTCCGGCGCTTCTGCACGGGGCAGGGGAACGGCGGGGCCCCCGCGGTGTTCTACACTTGCGACCTGTGCGACGAGGACGCCCGGTGGAGCCAGCACTGGTACGGCTGCGGCTCGTGCGACTACGACGTCTGCGAGGATCGGCATCACCCAAACATGCAGTCGAGACGCTGAAAGAAGGGCCGCTTAGGGCTCAAGAGGGGCTCCAGATCTCGGGCCGTGCCTTAAGGCCCAGGTTCGGTCGCGGAACACATTCGTCGTGGCCGAAGCCCGCCGCGGCCAGGAAGGCCCCTCCGTTCCTTGTGCTGCGTTCCTTCCGTTGGCGCGCTGGCTGCACGTCTACGGCGTGTGCGTCGGCCCCCCCGCGGGGGCGACGCGCGCGCGCCTGGAAACCGTGCAGGACATGACATGCTCGGTGGCAGTCGCTTTCTGGGGCCATACCGCCTGGGCAAGAGTGTGCTGTGATGTGCTTGCGATGTCTTTTCGTTCCAGTACGGCAGGTTCGTGTCGTGTCTACCGGCGGCAACCCCGCCTCTGGCGTTCAACGTTGGACGCCGCTGGCGACCCAGAACCAGTCGATATGGAACAATCTGACTTTCCAGAAACGGCCGATCGTTCACAGTTGAACGATCCCTGCGGTGTCAGAAACCAACGCCGAGGTCGGCACGACACGAATCCGCGGCACGTCCTCCTGCGTCCCAGAGGAGTCCAGCCACGCGCAGCAGGGGGGGCAGGGGAGGGGGGAAAGGCTCCTCGGAAGCACCCCTGCTTCTTGGGTGGCGCGGGCCCTGTCTGTAGATGCACGGCCAGCGCCTTCTGAGAGGCAGCCTCCTTCTGAGAAGCCTTCCCCCCGGCTCCTCCTCCTCCTCCTCCTCCTCCTCCTCCTCCTCCTCCTCCTGCTCCTCCTCCTCCTCCTCCTCCTCCTCCTTTTCCTCCTCCTCCTCCTCCTCCTCCTCCTGTGCTTCGCCCGACGCAGGTCCACCGAACTGCGGCCCCACGGAACCGAGCCAGGCGTACTGGATTTGCGTCGGTCCGCCTCCTGCTGCTCCTCCTCCTCCTCCTCCTCCCTCCTCCTCCTCCTGCTCCTCCTCCTCCTCCTTTTCCTCCTCCTCCTCCTCCGCCTCCTCCTCCTCCTGCTCTCCTCCTCCCTCCTCCTCCTCCTCCTTCCTCCTATCCTCATATCCTCATCCCTCTCCCTCCCTCCCTCCCTCCCTCCCTCCCTCCTCCCTCCCTCCCTCCCTCCCTCCCTCCTCCCTCCTCCTCCTCCGAGGAGTGCCTGCGCCGCAGGTGCGGGCTCGGGTCCGCCCAGTGAGCACGCCTCTTGGCGAGCCGGCGGCGCCTTCAGGGGCTCCCCCGTCGGCGCCGGCCCCGGTGCAGCGCGCCCGGGCGGCCTGCCGGCCTGTCGCGGCAGGCAGGGGCCCAGGCCCCCGACGTCTCGATCTTCGAGCGATCCTCAATCGATCCTCGATCATCCTCGATCCTCGATCATGCTCGATCCTCGATCCTCGATCACGCTCGATCCTCGATCATGCTCGATCCTCGATCCATCCTCGATCCTCGATCCAGCCTCGCTCCTCGAGAAGCACGGGGGGAAGGTGTTTCTCAGGTGTCGGCTTCTGCGGGCCCTCGCCAGGCCCCAGGGCCGTCAACGAAAAGGCTCAGGACGCAAGACCGGCCCCGGGGGGAAGGTGCAGACCTCCGGGAACCCCGCATTGAGAGCCTCGAGAGATCGGATGTCTGGGGAAGGAAGGGGGCAGGGCGCAGGAGGGGTCTGGAGGTCGACGGCGAGGGGCTGGGTGGCGAGGAGAAGTGGGCAGGAGAGATAGAGGAGAGGCAACCCTAACTTAAGAAGCCCTCCCCCCCCTCCCCTTCCGGCTTAAGGTTGATACTTCCGCACCGGAAAGCGTTATCCCCGCACCAGAAGGATGATGTGGCTATCGCTTTAGCGCCGCGCGCATTCGCTCCAAAAACTGGCAAGAGCTTCGCGGACAGAGGGCGGCTCGTTGTTCTCGCCTCAGCGCTGCGCACATTCGTTTCAAAAAATTGCAAGGGCTTTAGGGATGGAGGGCGGCTCGTTGCCCTCGCTTCGGCGCCGCGCACATCAGATTGAACAACTGAATGGTATATCTAAACATTGCAAGAGCGGGAGGAGAAGGGAGGAGGGAGGAGGAGGAAGAGGAGGAGGAGGAGGAGGAGGAGGAGGAAGAGGAGGAGGAGGAGGCGGAGGAGGAGGAGGAGGAGGAGGAGGAGGGAGGAGGACTGCCGGACCTTGCCACGCTCCCACCGGCGGCTTTCCTCAGCAGCCTGGGGGCCACCCTGCACCTCATGGCCGCTGGCAGGGGTGTACGCACGCCTGACGCGCTCCGCCAGCACTTCCCGCGGATCGCAGCGGACGCAGCTGCTGCCGGGACCCGCCCGGAAGCAGCGCGGGCAGAGGGCGTCCATGCATTGGAGGATCGGCTGGGAGGGACGCGGGTGGGCTTGCAGAAGGAGCTCGCTGAGGAGACCCTGCGAGCACGCGCTGACGCGCTGCGACGGGAGCTCTGGGCGGACCGCCATGCCTGGCTGCGCTCATGCAGCGGGGTGGGCCCCGGGGCCTGGCTTCTGCCGCCGCTTTCGAAGGGCGACGTGCTCGCCAATGCGCCCTTCAACGCTGCCGTGCTTCTCCGGCTGGGGATGATCCACATGCCGGGCCCCTACGCGGTCGGCCTGAAGTTGACGGGCGATGGCGACGCCGTGCAGCGACACAATGCTGCACGTGACTGCCTGGCCACTCGGCTCACGAAACACGCGCCTGCTGCCGTGCGGACGGAGCAGAGTTTCCCCGAGCTGGGAAACGCAGAGCACAGAGAGGGTCGGTCGAATGGACTGCGTGACACACGACGCCACGGGGGACCACGTCCTCATTGACGTGGTCGCGACGCACGCCGCCGCGGCCGACGAGGGGGCGCTGGCTCGGGCCGCCCAGGTGGACGGGGCCGCGGCAGCCGCAGCTGAGCGGCGCAAGCGCGCACGGTACCCCCAGGCCGTTGGCCTGGTGTCGTTCGCCCTGGAGACCGGGGGGGCGCTCTGGCGCCGCGGCTCGCGGTCTGGCGCGCCGCCGGGCGCCGACGGAGCCCGCCCTGCGCACCGAAGCCATCGGTGATTTCTGGCAGTCGTTGGGTGTCCAGGTGCAGCGGGCGAACACGCTGCGCGTGCTCGCGCTGACTGGTCGCTGATCTGTCTTCTCTCCCCTGCCCTCCCCCCCTCCCTCCCGCCCCCTTCTGCCGCGCGAGCCAGCCAGTTTTAGTATGATTGATGCCTTTCCGCTGGCATCTACAGCATGTCTGGGTCGCAGAACAGCGGAGGCGTTCTCCTAAACACTGGCGGAAGTGTTCTCCTAAGCATTAGCGGATTTTTTCTCGTACAGTGCCTTGCCTACTCCACTACCCCGAAACTCGAAGGGAGGTGTAGCGCACTAGTTCCTTGACAGTTCCCGCTCTTTCCCCTCTCCTTCCCCTCTCCTTCCTTGCTCCGTGCCGCCGACGGGCGCGCGCGCGCCTGATGGCGTGGTCAGGTGGCTCACACTGCGCAGCCGCGCCCCCGTTTCATCAGCGTGGATTTTCGCCCTTCACGTAGGCATTCTGTATGTATATATATATATATATATATACATAAACAAACTTAGCGTGTGGACACACCCCTCGCGCGGGCACTGGACAGACCTCCTCACGCGCCTAGCCCTGGTGGCCACTCGCCCCAAAGCTGGTCGAGTGCCAGGGCTGGTGGTGGTGGTGGTGGTGCTGCTGCTGCTGCTGCGGAGGAGGAGGAGGAGGAGGAGGAGGAGGAGGAGGAGGAAAAGGAGGAGG